ATATTACATTAGTGGCTATTACAATAACGGTTAAGACATCCTTTTACATAATTAGGCAATTTATTACATAATTGGGGAATTATTACAGTGCTACAATCCCTGTCTATGGCTGGGAAACAGGATAAGAAAAGGAAATGAATAATTATTTATCATAATAATAACAATAATACATTAAAAAATATGTACACATGCACGTGACATTCACTTTTACTGTTGAAGCTTTGAGTTAATATGGGGCCATTAAAAATCATTAATAGATCATTTTTTCACTAGAGCATTAGCACCCTTATTCCACTTGGCACTAGACGTTTCTCATATGGAATCCAGCCTACATCAAACACCCACATATATTTATCTGTAAAAACTAATTAGGCAACATGATAAATGATTATAGGTGACTTATGATTAATAAAACTTTATATAGGTGACTTATGGTTAATTAATTTCTTTTTCATGTGGTAAGTTTAATTATTTGCCCAAACACTTTAAGTGCTAGAAATGTTCTATATGGGTCTCAGTGTATTTACACAACTGGTTGTGAATGTAAGGTTTCCTGTCTCGACAGGATGATATCTATGTCTACTTAAGGTGTATGTTCACGGCATGTTGATTTTATCAGCTTATTTCGTAAGTGCAGAACAGCTCACCACATCCTTTCTGGCAAAAGTTTAAAGCACATCACACAAAGTAGAAGCTTCATAGAACTGCTGAAGGCAGCAGCTACTCTCTAATCTTCCATGTGATGTTAACATGTTTAGTCACTTCATTAATCTTTTTTCTTTGGTTATTTTGGCACCTGCCCAATTAAAACCAGTGGCACCACATTGCACCGAAACAAATAAACAAACAAAAATACCAGAGTCAGAAACAACCAATGTGAAACAAATTCACAGGCACTCAGAATTACACAATCTCATGAGAAGCTATCTTAAAAATCAACCTAGCATGTTATTACAACATATGTTTTTTGTTAAATAAACATACCTGTATTTTCAAATAAACTAGCAAGTTGAATGATTAACACTGGTTTAGCAGCTCCATTGTATCCATAAAAAGGAAATTAAGCATCCATTAGATGCAGAACATTTCACAACACAGCTCAGCTAAGACTCTGCCAACATAGTCTAATCCGATTTCTCGCTCATGCAAAACAAAGCTTACATCAAACTTTAAATTAGTATGATTCATGCTCATTTAGCCGTAAAGCAGTTCTTCCTGTTAAGAGTTATGAACTATAGTTTTGGCATAGTCTGGCAATGATTCGCTGATCACGGTGGGTTGATGTGAGCTTTAAAAGCTATCACAAAAGTCACAAAAGTTATCACATGAAATGGTTATTAATATGTTGCGTGATGCCTGAAACATTGTTTTGCAATAAGTCTGAAATACGATTTGGACCTTAAACAATTTTTTCATGGTGGAGAGGTACACGCAGGGTATTGTAGGGCAAAATAATACCCAAAGAAAAGATTATTCTTATTATACAGAAGCATATCTTTGACAGAAAACTACACAAAAGCCTCAACAACTACATATAACATGAAATCTTTTGGTATTTAGTGTGTCCACTTTTTGCCTTCATTACAACTTCCATTATATTCTGCAGACTTGCTTTAAGTTTTTGAAAGAAGCTGCAGGGGTGTTTTTCCACAACTCCAGTTCAGTCTTTGAAATTGGTTGCATTTTCTGCTTCTTATGATCCAAGTAATCCAAACACATTCAGTCAGGCTGAGGTCTGGAGTCTGGGGTGGTCAGTCTATTGTTCTGAGAACACCACCAGCTTCTTTATTTGATTTACAAATTTAATTTCTTCTCTATTTCCTTTTCTCAGTAAGGGTTTCTCGGCAGCTACACATCCTTTCAGACCTGCAGTGTTGAGTTGTCTTCTCACAGTGGAAGTATAGACAGAAACAACGGTGGATTTTTTCAGATGTGAAGCAAGAGTGGAGCTTGATTTTCTCCTCTCTCTCCAAGATGAAAGCTTTAAGTTCTGTTTATCTGATAGTGACAGCTTTGGTCGTCTACCAAGTTTTGTTTGGTTGTTAGGAGTAACTAACAACCTTCACATTTTCCAGACATCATGCAGCTGGTTCCTTTCATCACCACTGTAGTGAAATGCAAGTCTCTACAATGCATTACCTTACATCAAACCACTCTGAATAACTTTGTCAGCGACTGAATTATGCAGAAATCTTCAGAAATTGGTGCTTTTCCCGTTGAGATTTTTAAAAAACAATCAACAAAAATGAAACAATAGGAACATCAAATAACACCAAAAAGCAAACACTGGAGTCGAATTAAACCTGAAAGCGCAAACACCTTATGCTACATTCTAACCAAAGCCACAGTCTATCTGTCTGTCTGCTTTACACGAGAATTATGCAGGTATATATAGTGCGTGTATATATAGAAAGAGAGACATTTGCGTTATGGAATGTATTTTTTCATCTATGATGACAAATGTGTCTATATATATACACACATGCACTGTATATAAACACTAATGTTCGGACAAACCCACACACTGTGACACCACACATTTCCGAATAAGAGCAAAGCTGCTGTGCTTCTTCATTCAGTAAGCAGTATCACATGGCAGAAAGCAAATCTGCAGCTTTTGGGGGAAAAAAAGTGTGATTGTTACTGGAAAAACGAATTGGTCACTAAAACATTGGCATTTCCTCTGAACTGTGTGGTCTCATTCACAACAAAACACAACTTATCAATGACAATCAGGCAGAAATGTACACTTGAAAAAGTGCCCTGACTTTACTTGATTCAGATGTGTACACCGTTCCACATGACTACAACACTGTCGCGCTGGCGCAAAAGACGCAGTGTCAGCCATTTTCTTCTTTTTTATACAGACAGGCAGAAACAGGAACTAACTTTTGAGGGGAAAATGAGGGGTGGGTCATTAAAATGCAAAAGTAACATGATAGTGGTGAACACTCCCTTCATGCTAATTAGGTGAAGAGGACATGACTTACCACAACAGATCACAGCTTTAATACAACAACATCTAACATATTAGATTTTAACAAAATAAATCCATTTAAAATCTACATTTTAACTAGATTTAAGAGAGAGGCACACGACGTTCTGGGAGTCCTCTATGTGTTCCTCTCCACTCCAGTGGCGACGCTACAATACATCAAATCAATTCTTGCTAAAAGTGAGAACTGAAAGACCAAATGGTGTTGATGTAGCATATTTTCTTCACATTGAACTGACATACAAATCTGAAGTAAAGGGAAATTCCAATAGTTTTTTTTTTAACGTCTGCTAAATCAGCCCCTGAAACGTCATTCATTCAGCGTGGTCTGATGTAAAACATTTCACTGTAGAGAAAATTACACACACAATTTCTTTACAGTGGTGGTGACAGGAACCAGTGGTCATAATGTCTACCTATACATGTCTTCGGAGTTTGTATATGTAACGTTATCATGGTAAAATAGTGATAAACCTGAAAAAAGTTTCCTTTGGGGGTTATTTAGCCTTACAATATGCTACATGTACTATTCCACTATGGTTGTAAAATTACACATTCTCAAAACTGTCATAAGATAATGTCACAGGCATCTTTAATGAAATGTCTTTCTGTGAGGGAGCTTAGAGACATTAAACTCTTCAGATGTCTGGGTTCCATCACCACAACTGTGAATTCTGACACTAGAATCAAACCACATCAAACCACTCTGAATGACTCAGTGTATATCTTAAAGGCCTAATAACACAGAACCATTGAATAACTCAGGACCCCCCCCCCAGTGTAGTGACCCCTATAATTGCTGCTGCTGTTATTTCACACATACATGTTGTTAGGCAAGTTTCACACTCTGATCTTACGCTCTACACACTTAAAAAAGATTGTCCTTCAAAAGCTTCTTTTGCAAAGAAAATGGTTCTATATAGAACCATAAACACTCAAAGAACCCTTTGCATGATTAAAGGGTTCTTTGCATAGTGAAAGAGTTCTTCAGTTTGATGGAGAATGTGCTGTAGATGGTTCTATACAGAACTTTTTTGAAAAGGGTTTCATATAGCTCCAAAAAGGGTTCTACTGTAACAACATAACAGCAGAAGCATATTTTTGGTACTATATACCTTTTTTAAACTGGGTCTATCCATCTACAGCACAGTCTCCATCAATCTGAAGAACATTTCACAATGCAAAGAACCCTTTAATCATGCAAAGCGTTCTTTGAGTGTTCACAGTTCTACACAGAACCATTTTCTTTACTAAAGAACCTCTGAAGAACAAACTTTTTGTAGAGTTTAGTCTGGAATTTAGTTTTCTAGATTCCAAAAAAAGCTGTTTAGGATCTGGTCCAGCTTACAAAAACACGACAAGCCCAGTATTTTCCTTGTTCTGCAACTTGGCAAACACATGATTAGTTTCTATTTTCACTTTATTTTGATATGAGTACATTTTGCTGATACGCTTACAGCAGGCAGAGACACACAAATACACTGAACCATACAGCTGCTGTGCTGATATTTCTCATAAAGATGACAGAAGCTCTCTAACATTGAGTTTTTCTGGTCCATAGAGCCTACAAATCATTGAAAGCTGTGTAGTTTCATTATTCCGCAACTTAGTTACACTTATAACAACAGAACTGGCAAACAACATGAGCCCTTTCTTTTGTGTACATAGCCTTAAGCACAAATGCCCTGACTCATATAGTAACTTCTGTGTGCAATTACATGCCGCAAACCTGAAAAAAGGCGCACGATGATAGCCACATAATGCTAGCGGTTCACAGAGTGGAGAACATGCTGTGGTCTTGTATTTTGTGGTTGGTTGTTTGGTAAAACAAAAGGCCAGCCGCAGTCTGTTAGAGGTTTTTTAGTGGGGTGTTTGTAAGAAAACGTTGGCAGTGACACGGTTGACTGGCTTCATCTGACCACTTATACACAATCCACAGCGTTAAAGCAGTTGACTCCCAGTGTGTAAGTGCTTATTTAGTAAGAATAATGGGGGTTAAACTTACCGTACACCCCAGTGAAGGTGTATTTAGCTGCAGTTAAAATGAACAGAAGAAGTGATGCCCGCATGTCCAGAGCAACGAAAACAACCAGGAGCGACGAGAGCGACTCTGTCTGCTGGTAAATGACACATATTTTAGGAAATATACAAAGTCGACACCGATGACTTAGCCTGTGACGACGATTTCCTTTTTTTTTCAAAACAACAACTGTCACGCTTTCACTTTCACTTCAGCTGCACTGTCTCTGCTATGCTAAGCCAGCTAACAGCGCTCGGCGCGTCAGGCGATTCTGGTCCGGCTGCGCTCAGCGCCTGGCGGGATCACTTAAGACACTGTGAGAGTTTGGACTTCGTTCATCCAGCATGCGCGAGAAGAAGGCGAAGGGCAGACTGAGGCGAAGCTCTGCCAGTCCATACGCCGCTCAGTCTCCTCCTATTGGATCCTGAACCTTTGATTATCAGTCATAACCGAGGCTAGGCTGGTTTTGTGTGCTCATAGCTGCGTATTGACGTATTAGAAGCGAGTAAGAGGATCCCAGAACCGAACCCTCGCGCTCATTCCCTCCGTTTATCGTCTGAACACGTGAGCGAGCCGAAGAGGGGAGGGCACGAATTAAGAGTAGGGCTGCTCGATTACGACAAAAATCATAATCACGATTATTTTGGTCAATATTAAGATCAAGAATATTTAACACGATCACTCATTGAATCTGGACACGTCATTGAACTTTTTTTAACAGTGGATTTCCTTGAACTTGAAAAATAATTCAACTAAAAAAAAAAAAAGAAAAAATGATAAATAAAGAATACACACACACACACACATATATATATATTGCCTATTATTTTAATATTATTTATGTAATTTTATATATATATATATATATATATATATATATATATATATATAATTACATACATAACATTAAAATAATAGGCAAAAATGAAGAAGATTGAAATAATAAGTTTATAATAAAATATAATTAAACTGAAAAAGCAATAAAAATACATATAAAATGATGAATAAATAAAATAAATAATAAACATGATACATACATATACGTATACCTTTGAAAACATCATATAAAAATAATAAATCTAAATAAATAAGATCAACCAGGCTGGAGTTCACTTCCACAACTTACTGAAAACTACTAAATACATAAAAATCAATAAATAAAAATAAATTATACAAAAATTAATTTGATGAGTTTGGGCATTTAGTGAGGGGCTAGATTTATAACATGAGACAAAACAAGAGAATTATTGCAAAACGAAATGTAGCACAAAAATCGTTTTATCCGGATTATTTTGTTTTCCTAATCATTACAAGCCAAAATTGTAATTGGAAATATCATTTGATTAATTGCCCAGCCCTGCCTAAAAATTGTGCCCTCGTTTTTTTCATTCATTTCCTTCCCTCCTTGTCATCTACTTCAAAGTTAGTTAAAAAAGAGATGATTCTCTAACCCTGGGATGCTCCATTCTGGTCCTGGAAATCTACCACCCTGGAGAGTGTAGATCCAACACACCTGGCTTAATATTCAGGTGCTCCTGAAGGCCTTCATTACCTGGATCAGGTGTGTTAGATTGGGGTGGAGCTGAACTCTGCAGGGTGGGATATCTCTAGGACCAAGATTGGGCACCCCTCTCTAACCCAACCCAGCCCAACATTGGTTCAGAGATAACTAGGGTGTAAGCCAGCGTTCCTCAAATTCAGTCTAGGAGGGCTGGTATCAGCACAGTTTGGTGATTTTCCTGTTCAAACATGCCTGATTTAATCTGTTAATTGCCAGGTTTTGTGGGTTTGTTTGGAAAGGGAAATCACCAAATAGTCCCAAATACTGGCCTTCCAGGGCTGGGTTTGAGGAGCTCTGGTGTAAGCAGTTCAATATAGCGTTGAAGAAAAAAAACATTCAAAACAACGTATTTTGTCACTCATTACACTCCTCGCTCTCTTTTGAGGGTCTCTCATTTGCCATCTTTCTGTCCAAACTAGGCATCTGGCTGCAGCCTAGCATAGTGGGCAGAGATAGGACAGTGCTTATATTACTTAGGCACCCTCGCTTAAAACAAGGCTTTTTTTCTGAAGTGGCTTATAAATACTAGGGCCTGTGATTTTGGAGGATTTTTTTGTTGAAAGTAGTTCATATTAGTAACTTTTGACTCAGCCAAACTAGTTTATGTAGTATAACCTTTTTGCACATAAAGTGTTGAAAAACAAATTTCTTCCTGGCCTCATAGTTGAAAAATGTATCAAACCTGAAACTAGACTATATGGCCAAAAGTATGTGGACACCCCTGCTAATTATTGAGTTCAGGTGTTTTAGCCACACCCACTGCTAACAGGTGTAGAAAATCAAGCACATAGCCATGCAGTCCCTATCAACAAACTTTGGTGGTAGAAAGGGTTGGACTGAGGAGCTCAGTGACTTTAAATGTGACCTTTGTCACAATTCAGATTCTGGAATTTCTGGCCTGCTTTCACCCCAGTGAAATAGCAGCGTCTAGGAGCAGCAATAGCTCAGCCGCAAAGTGGTAGACCATGCAAACCCACAGAGCAGAGCTGCTGAGTACTGAGGCGCATATCCTCTGTTGCATCACTCACTACTGCAGAATTCCACACCCTCTACAAGCAAAAATCAAAATATTAAGGCAACATGATGCATTCAGATTTTTTAACTCAGTCTGAACAGCCTCAACAACTGCGCTGGTAGTCATTCTTACTAAGATTAATTTGTTTAGCCAACTTGTGCCTGGCCCACGCTACAGGGTTTAAAAAATCCTAGCTGATATTGAAAATGTGAGAGACTCCACACATAACATTTTCACAGTTTTCAGGCTAAGATCAGGCTTCAGGAGGGTCACTGATCAGCTGGCCTCTGTGTCTCCTGACCTGCCTGTGGCCTCCGTGGTCTTCTGACTCTGACTTAGCCCCTGTGTGTCCATTTCCCGCACCTCATTGTGTTCTGGTACTGGCTCCCCATAATGTTCCAGTGCTGGCTTCTATAGCTGCTGCTCCCCTGGAGGTGCTTCCCAGTGCAGCTCCTGTGTCGGCTCCCCGTAGTGTTCCAGTACCAGTTCCCCGTTGTGTTTTGGTGCTGGCTTTCTGTCGGCTTCACAGAGTTCCTGTGATCTGGATGCCTCCTGTTCCTGCGCTCCAGATGGCTCCAGTTCCTTTGCCCCAGGTGGCTCCAGCTCCTGTTCCTGTACCCCAGGCGGCTTCTGTTCCTGTTCTTGCACCCCAGACACCTCCTGTTCTTGTTCCTATGCCCTGGCCACCCTTGCAGTCCCCTGCCCGGCCACCCTTGCAGATTTCTGCACAACATAAGAACTCACAGTCTGTGTTTTCCCCTTTGTCTGTTCAGTGTTCTACCCCAGGTTTTGTTTCTGTTCCTGTTTCTGTCTGTTGCTATTCATGTTTCTTTACCCATTTCCGGATTTGTGTCTGTCTCTGTTCATGTAGCTGTCCCAGTCCCAGTCCCTGTTGCTGTCAGGGTCTCTGTCCCCTGTGTTGTAGCCATATGCTTTTTGCCATGTGCTTTTGTTTTTGTTTTGTTTTCTGTGCTCTGCCCCTTTCCTGCCTTCTCTATTAGTCTTCCCACCTGTTTGTAGTTCCTGTCTCCTCCCTTTCCCATGTGTTCCCTATTGTTTCTGACCTACATCAGGCCCTTTGTTTCAGTCCATGGTTGTCTAGTCTATACGTTACTACACGTCACCTTGTTACGTGTAGTGGTTATGTGCCTGCCCTTTGTTTGTTTTATTTAACATGTTTCTCGATTCAAAGCCTTGTAGTTTGTTATTTTGTTTTTCTTCAGTGTTTCTACTAGTTTGTTTTGTTTATCAAAGTGTCCAGCCTCATTATTCACCACACATGATACACTGCTTATATCTACTTGCTACATCCAATCCTAAATTACCATAGCATCCTTAACCTACTCTCCTGGACAAAAAAATGGGCCAAAATGGCAAAACATTAAGCTTTAAATGGCCTTAACAACAAATCATTAAACAAATAGGTAAAGTAACTTAATATGGGCTAACTGTTCCCTTTGATTTCTTTAAATGTTGAAGTTGAGTGTGTAAATTTGCTGAAAACTTTTTACAGAAAGAAGACTCAGCACTGATGACTTCAAACTGTTAAAAAACATTGCTGAGCTAGTCTGTGTTTGTTGCAAGACCAAATATTCTTTATAGGGTTTAAATGCAGGCTCTGACCAGCCCAAAAGCATCAGTAAAAACCATTATATTTTGGGCTTGGGTAAGGAAATGTGAACTTTGATTACATTACTTTCCAACTGACACATAGTAGAACCAAGAAAAAAACTGCATATCATTCAGCATTAACAGGCATAAAATAAACTCATAATGTAGTACATTCACAATAGTAGCTCAATGCAAATGTAAACATTCCTTAATGAACACTCTCCCTTATTACTGAAACAACTCATTGCAATACTATACTAAAAAAATGATATCTTAGTGACTCAAAAACCTTAACATGCTGAATGCTCAAAATAAATTCCAGGTCCCAGGAGAATGACAGCTGTTGTATACACATTGGTTGAGAAAGTATAAGTCCTGGCAGGTTTTCATTCCATCTGCTCAGTTAACCAGGTAAAAATTTAATTAACCTGGTTAAGCGAACAGTTGAAAGAAAACCAGGACTTTAACTTGCTCAGCCTGTACTTGTCCACCACTGGTTGAAATGCCCCAACATAATACTGTATTACAAAAATAACCATTTCAAAGGAGGATGTAGTTGTCCAAAAACAAAAACCTTGACACACATTATACTCAATATTGTGCTCAGGAAATTACAGTTCTAGCAAGTCTTTCAATTACTTGCTCACCATTCTTGTCAAATAAAACCCCACAACATCATAAAAGTCAAGAATGACCATTTCCATAGCAGTAAACATTTTAAACAAACCCAAAAGTTAACAAGACAATAGTATATGGTTTGATTTCTGTACAACTGATAATGCCCTCAGCATTTTCAATCAGATGCTGAGGAATGAAGGTACTGAATGCTGAACTGTAAATGAACAGCATCCTAACATAAGTGTCCTTTTTCTCAAGAAGAGTAAGATGAAGAGTGGTGGCTATGGTATCATCAGCAGAGCAGTTGGGATGATATGTAAACTGCAGAGGGTCCAGTGAAGGACGCAGCTGGGTTTTGATGTGCCTCATTACAAGCCT